ATATAGTGCTAAAATTACAAGAATTTCTGTCAGAGTCAATTTAAACAGCTTCATTGTCACATCTAAGGTTTCCTGACCTTTAAGACCTGTTTATTATGATCAATAGTAAGTTATTAAAATATCCTGACCTAGATATAACATGTTTACTGTGATCAATAGCTAAAACCCCAGTCACATTTCCAACGGGTTTTGAAGCAAAAATGGGATTCTTGGGGTGATAGTCGTCAGTTCATCGGCCGTTGTCTTGGCCGATTTTGACCTCTTTTTTGTCGGCCGACCAATTTTTTGTCCATCGGTCCGAGTTATAATTTTTCATGCGTCGGTAGCCGATTTCTTCAACTGAAGTTATCCGTCGACCAACCTTCGATTATCGTCCGACCATCGGTAGTCTTTTTGTTAAGTCGGTATTGTCGTTTTTATGCAATTCCATAACAAAATTTTGCACACATTTTCAACATTTTATAAGATTCTGCCACTTTGCCTTGCAAACATTACTCACCTCATCTATCTAAATATAGATCTATTAAAAACTATTGCTGATTTCTAAAGAAAAAAGATTTTTTGTGTTATTTATCCAAGTCATCGGTGTCCCTAGGAAATACTGTGACTGCTCCGTGTCGCCCGATACTGTGTCGGCTGATCATGTTCTTTCAGCCGACAACACCAGAAAAAGTTAGTCGCCCGACCATTGGCTTAAATGTGACCTAGGCATAAGTCTATCTAAAGTATCCTGACCTATAGGATCTGTCAATCATGATCAATTTTAAGTCAATTCCATTTAACAGCTGAAACTGCAGAATTATAGTCACAATACAATGTCATATAACTTTATCCCCTGTTGTTTTACTTCACAATTTTTAACAAGAAATTCACTGAAATGCTTGGTTGGGTACCAGGGGGGGCGCCATAGGATATAAAATTTTTATATTAATATTTTTACATTCTTATTTCCAATTAGCAAAAAAAGATGTTAAAATGTTGGACACTTTGAAAACTTGCGGGGTATAGGTATATATTATACAATTATTGCTGTTTTCTAGGTCAATACCATGATTTAGACACCTAAGACAATATTCACTGAGAACCGAAGGGCGAAGTGAATATTGTACTTCGAAGGTGGCTAAATCATCGTATTGACCGCAAAAAGCAGCAATAACTGTTTTATTATATGATTAAATGATGGCAAACTCCTACAAGACTGTTTCTTTGCTTTAATTGAAAGTTTTAACAAGAAATTTCAACAAGAACACATTGTAACAGAAAAAAAATGAACAGGTCAATAATTCCTTATATTGACCTGCAATAAATCCTTGTATTCACCTGGAACGTCACGTGCAGGTCAATACAACGTAGTATTTTTCTAACATACATGTATTAGGAAATGGAAATTATTCAATCAAATAATAATAATATATATTTAATATGTTTTTATTTCCAATTAGCAAAAAAAGATGTTAAAATGTTGGACAGTTTCTTTGAAAACTTGGAGTCAGTCATGTTTTTTCCTTGAGTGAAGATAATATCTTTGGAGAGCTTATGTATGGTACATGAAACATTGGTGTATTTCTTTTTACCATAGAACAACCTGCTAGACATGACTGCTGTGATTTCCCTCAAAACTTCAAGGAAGTCAGTATTATTGTCTTTAAGTTTTCCATTTCCATAAAATTTTTCTACAGCCTCATACAAGAACTGCAACATGTAGCTGCCATCTTCTTTACTCCTAAAAGCATACATTCCTAAAAGAAGAAAAAGGAATTCATAAGTTTTTGATTTAATTTTAGTTAAAATACATCTCAATCAGTCCTGATTAAAATGAAATTAATGTAATCATACTGAAGGTCTTAAATCAATCATTCAAAGAAGTATTGATGTTATTTATATTTCTGAATATTAAATAAATCATCAAACTCAGTGCTTCTATTGATCACAAGATTCAAAATTTATCACCTGAACTACTGTTCAGATAAAAGTTTCTCATAATAAAACAAGATCTCATAACAAGACAACAAAAATCAAAACCATACCTTACAATAGGACAACAAAAGTCAACAACAAATTTTACAACAGAACCAAAAAAACAACACTAAACCTTACATTGTGATGACAAAAGTCAACAATGCACCTTACAACAGCAAAACAAAAGTTGACATCACATCTTATAAAAGACATCAAAACCTTCAAACAGGATAACAAAATCTTGCAACAGGACAATAAAAGTCAGAACCTGACCTTGTGGTGATGCAAACATGATGAGCATATCGTTGTGACAGGGGACAGACGTGATATGGACTGGGGCCACCGTCGGCCGATATCGCCGCGCTTTAGGTGGATCCACGTCATCTCCCAGCATTCCCATCTCTGCTGGAGGATGTAATCTGATTCCTCTTGCTGGATCCAGCTCATCCTCTGTTTGTTCCATCTCAGGTGATAGAGCCTACAAAACATACAGCTGTGTTGGAGAACTAACAGCTACTTATAACTAGTGCTAATTGTAACGGGACCGTTACAGATGTTCCCAAAGCTCCCCAACTTCCTTTTGGTGCCATATTCCCTAAAAGCTTCATTAAATAAGACAAACTCTATGCATTTGAGATTTTAACATCGTTTACCCAGAAGTATACCAATTTCATTCAAATTTTAGCATTGCACGCGTAATGACCATATAATCTTGTCTTCACAATCTATAGATTTTAATATACTAAATATCAAAGTATTTAATCCAAAAGTATTAAAAAATACGCTAATTTAAGTGTAATTTTGATTTTACTCATTTTACGTGCACGCACGCACGTGCTCACATGAGCATGGCGACCATACTTTCTTGTAGAAGTCCATTACACCTATCTGTGTTCTAAATCCCACCCCATTTGGTTGAAAACCAAGGGAGTTATAGCTGTTCAAAGTTTCAGCCAATCAGATTGCAGCGCACGTACATGCACGTGTATGCATATGCATGGTGACCGTATCTTCTTGTAGAAGTCCATTATATCTATCCATGTTCCAAATCCCATCCTGTTTGGTTGAAAACCAAGGGAGTTATAGCTATTTAAAGCAATAGCCAATCAGATTGCAGCGCACGTGCATGCACGTGTTTTCATGATAATTGCTATAAATCTTATTGTAGGATATCCTAATACATGCCTATGTTTAAAATTTCAAAGGATTTGGTCAGAAAACCAGAAAGATATTGAGACTTTAGTTTCAGCCAATCAGAGCGAAGCGACGTGCATGTGCGTAGATTTGCTTTTTTGATCATGTCATTTTGTTTACGCTACTAATATATCCTTACATTATAAATTTCAAAAGATTTCATCAAAAAATAGAAACGTTACGGCTATATCCATTATATTGGTCATTTCACGTGTTGCACGTGCCCGCTCTTGCAAGCACGTGCGCGCAAAATGGCATGTTGACAATGTCCTTTTATCTACATTTATAATATGTCTATATATTCTAAATATCAAAGCATGACATTAAAAAATGTTAAAGTTACGGCAATTTCAAGTATATTGGTCATTTCACGTGTTGCACGTGCGCGCTCTTGCAAGCACGTGCGCGCAAAATGACCTTTGTTCCGCAAATCTACATAACATGCCTACTTATCCTAAAAAGGTTTCCCCTTAATCGGATGTGTACTTTACAAGATCATTCGCGGACAAAATTTTCCCAAGAAGAAAAATAATAATAACTAGTGCTAATTGTAACGGGAACCGTTAAGATGTTCCCCAAACGCTCCCCAACTCCCTTTTGGTGCCATATTCCCTGTAAGCTTCATTAAATAAGACAAACTCTGTGCATTTTTTTACTTTAACAACGTTTTCCCAAAAGGATACCAATTATATTCATATTTTAGCATTGCACCCAAGCGCATGTACGTGAATGCATGTGCGTTATGACCATATCATCTTGTCTACACTATCTATATATTTTAATATACTATATATTAAAGCATTCAGTCCAAAAGAAATAAAAATCACTCATTCAAGTGTATTTTTAACTATACTCGTTCTAAATGCACGCACGTGCGTGCACGTGCATGATGACCATACCTTCTTGTAGGAGTCCTTTACATCTATCACTGTTCTAAATCCCATCCGGTTTGGTTGAAAAAAAAGAGAGTTATAGCCATTTCAAGTTTCAGCCAATCAGATTGCAGCACACGTGCATACGTGTGATTTCATGAATATTTTTCTATACCATGTTGTAGGTTATCCTAATGCATGACTATATTTTAAATTTCAAAGAATTTCGTCAAAAAACAAAGGATATATAGCCATTTAAAGTTTCAGCCAATCAGATTACAGCACGCGCACATGCGCATGCTTTCATGAAAATTCTTTTATATCATGCTGTAGATATTCATAATGTAGGACTATGTTCAAAATTTCAAAGGATTATGACAAGAAACAAGAAAGATATTGAGACTTTAGTTTCAGCCAATCAGAGCGAAGCGCACGTGCATGCGCGTGAGATCTTGCTATTTTGACCATGCTATCTTGTCTATACTTCTAATGTATCCTTACATTATGAGTTTCAAAAAATTTCATCAAAAAATAGAAAAGTTACTACAATATCCATTATATTGGTCATTTCACGTGTTGCACGTGCACGCTCTTGCAAGCACGTGCGCGCAAAATGACCTTGATTCCGCAAATCTACATAACATGTCTACTGACCCTAAAAAGGTTTTACCTACATCGGACGAACAGTTTACAAGATCACTCCCGGACAAAAAAGTACCCAGGAAGAAGAAGAAGAAGAAGAAGAAGAAAAATAATAATAATAAGAAACAGAGTAAAAACAATATGTTCCCCAACTTCGTTTGGGGAACATAATAAGAAACAGAGTAAAACAATATGTTCCCCAACTTCGTTTGGGGGAAAATAATTATGTCCCACAGAAAATATGCTATATGTAAATATTAACTCATCCAAAAGACATAAATAATAATAAATAAAAACATGTTCTATGGACAATTAATCTTTTTTAAGTGTACCAAAAATGCAAAATGTGTTTAATATAATAAATGTCCTTCAAGTAAAACCAATATTCCAGACTGGACTTACCCCTTCCCCTCCTGCTGCTTTGTGAGTATTTGTTTCTTGTTGGCCTCCTGGGTGTAAACTCTACCAAGCTGCCAGACCTCATTTTGTAATTTCTTTAAATTTCTGACAATTTCTATCTGTCTTTGTTCCAAATATTTTTCTACATCTGATGTGTCTTGTTCCTGCTGAAACAAAAAATTAGAAAAATACATGTAGTCATCATTACAACTAGGCTTTACTTAAAACTGAGTTATACCAATACATGTATTACACAGTCATGCTTCTGAGTTCTGTAATTTGTTGAACAATGTCAATTTTACCAATACATTGATTGTTTAACTCACCTCCCGTGTGTCTGTATCCTGACTGTTGGTTGTGGGGAGGTCAGTGTCACACTCAAGGTCAGAATCCTCTATGTCTGTGTCAGACACCTCTCCCTCCTCTGTGTCAGACTCTACACATGACAAAAATTACATCGTACAGTGTACATTTAAATTTGTATGAGGAAAAACCATAAAAAAAAAAACAGGTAAGTTTGGGTGTTGCTAAAACGGAAACAGAACGGGAAAGCGGAACGGAACGGAAAATTTTTGTCAAATAAAAAACACAGATTCAATATAAATCAGATAAAAGAGCAATATTCTTCTGGTAAAAGTCATTTCTAATAAAAATTCATTATATTAAACTATTATATATTGATGAGTCATACACACCCTCCGTGGAAAAAATGCTACTGATAGAAATCCCCCCCCCCCCACACACACACACACGAAATAGGATTTTCGTGTTTGGGCAAAGGACATATCCCCCCCCCCTTTTTTTTTGCTTGTCAAATTGGTTGTATGTTGGAAATTTTTTTCTGACCCCCACCACCTCTATCAATTTGTTTCCAATGTCAATGTCTGAAAAGACAAAAACAACTAGTTATGCTATTCAGATTATGCACGCAGTGTCGAATTCGCGAGTCATGAAAGGGGGGTGGCAGTTTCGGGTCTGCGTAGGGGCCCACAGCCACATTAAAAATTGATTTATTAAACCTTATGTACATTTTGGACACAAAAAGGGGGGCTGACCTATTACAACTTCTAAGACATTTCCGAGGAGAGAGGAGCGGGAAAACAAACTCATTTTTACGGGGTCATTCATATACGCCTCCTCCCCCCCCCCCCCAAACATGCACACATATGTGCCGCAAACAAACTACATTTAACTTCAATGAATGCAAAGATTCTGCAGTCTGCATTATATCTACCACAACTTTGTCTATCCACAAAAGGACTATTTCTGAATAAAATTTTAACAACCAGTGTGTATAAGAGATGTTTATTCGAGCTTGCCGTAAAGGTTTGTCCTAAACGTAATCTTAATAATTTTTTTAAACATTTTTTTTTTTCTTTCCATGGTTCATTTAGATATCAAATATTTGCCCCCCCCCCCCCCACCTCAGTCTTAACCTTTTTACTACGGAAATTTTTGTTCAAGTTCACATTCTCACCCTTTTTGTGAATATAATAAATGTAGTAAGTTAGTGTAAAAAATAGTACTGAAAGATGTTGGGAGTTGGAACTTATCCCCCCTCCCAATCAAACAATTGTTTTCTTTTTGTGTTTTATCTCCCCTCCCGAATCAAACAATTGTCTTCTTTTGTGTTTTTTGCTTGTCAAATACTTTTCAAGTTCGTTTACCCCCTCCCCCCCCCTTTCAAATTCGATTCTATGTGACTGCTATTTTAGCGACTTTTGTAAATAAGAGATTGAGCATGACAAAATCAACTTGTATTTAATAGTGGGGGATTGAATGTGTACAAGATATATCATTTATGATAAAATTTGTGTATTTTAAGTGATTTAATCCAAAATAATATATTCCGTTTTCCGTTCTGTTCCGCTTTCCCTTCCGTTTTCCGTTCCGCGTTTTAGCAACACTCGGTTTTTCTGGCAACACTTCTTCTGTCCATCAGAAGTAGCTTTCAGATATAATTTTTTTTCTCTTGATTACCATACAAAGGTTTTTTTTCAATACATAATAGTAAACTATATACAATGTACATGCTGATTCTAATGCATAGTATATAATTATCTTCAATCCTCTTATTAACATCCCCTAAAGTATGCATACGTTGTATGTGTCAATTATATGGAAGCAACCTTATTCACAAGAGGGAATACTGAAACATTTTCTTAAAATTAGTCTACAGAGTGTATATATTTTGAGAATACATCAAGTAGCAATAACTGTACCTTCATCAGAGATCCCTTCATTGTCCTGATAGTCAATCTTATCATGTCCATCTTTGTTATGGCCTGGTTCCCCTCCCCCCTTTTTTGTGTCCGGCGCCGTGATCAAACCCTATGCCTGCGTCTCTTTGATCTTCAGTTGCTTTACTCTCGGGAATTCTACAGGCCTGACAAACACATACATCACAAATCAAAATTTCAGAGGTCCACATTATTTTATTTTCTGAAATGAATATACACGTATATACACTTCCCTTAGAATATAATTTATTTTTGTTTTTACATTTTGTTGTTACATTCTTTTGATGTATAAAGCTCCTTACCATGTTTACAAATAAGTATAAGTAATAATGAGGCCATCTAACCAATAAAGTTTTTATTACCCTGAAATATCTCTAAGACTGTTGCCTAATCTTAATTACTTTTCTCCCAGGATAAAAAAAACATGAACATTTTTTTCATTTCAATACCTGAATAAAGAACAGTTTTGGTTTGTTTGTCAGTGCTTTACATGCTTTAGGGCTGAAGTAATCCAGAACGTCTTGGGTGTCAAAGAATTCATCATCAAACATTTGTATAGCATGATGATGGACCACTTGATCTTTTCCTTTCACCTCTTTTTCAATTCCATGTGAACTGATAGCAAATACAAAACAATCATACTCTTTCAGACTCTTGTTTTTGGAATCTAAAAAGGAAAAATCAGAAAAGTCTAATATGCAATACGATTAAAAACAGATTACGAGAAAAAAAACTGTCTCAGTCTGATTCATAAAGAAGGAAATTTAAATTTTGGAAAACAATGCCAAATAAAATTTTATATGTGTTTCAATTTAAAAGTTATTGCACTTACATGAGTTCAAAAGTGACACAAATTTGGATGTTGTTAAATTTTCA